TCGGTGATCGTTCTTTATTCGATCATCATTCAAAGAACGCTTGGATTACTCTGAATCTATCTACCATGTGCCCCCTCGGAAGAATAAGAGACTTAGAGACTTAGAGCAGGACAAATCTGTTTTTATAAGACGACTTTCCCATAAATAGTAATTACAGAGTTGCAGAGTTGATCAAATGGAACCAGTTCCGATGAAGTAAGTACCATTCAGGCCCGCAGTCAGGTTATGTAATAAAAAACTCTCTTAATAGGAAATAACCATTAAGGGAGTTGAGAACTGTGGAGAAAAGAAAAAAGAGGAGTTGCAAAGTCTTAATCAAAGTCATACGAAAATTCTTCCGGTCAAAAATGGGACATGAAAATGACGGTGATAATCAGATTGTTCAGATGTGCTACAAACTGGATCAAGGCCCTGATGTCTGGGACCATCAGAATTCATCAGAGGAAAAAGGATGTAGAAGGTCCCCTTGAATCGGTCATTTCCATTGTAAGAGTAGCCATATGAAAGAGATTCAAACGAGGTACAAGAGAGAACAAGGAGGACCGCATGTTGCAAACAATTGAGGCGATAGGAGAGGAGATGGCTTTAACCTTGAACAGTCAAACAGCTGCCTGCCTATATGGCCACCAAAGATTGTCGGGCTTGATGTCGGAAATCGATTTTCAATTAAATCAAGGACTCCTTTTAACGTAATCAAATCAATCAAAGTTATTCAAAACATCTTAAGAGGCAGTTATCAACAGAATAAATGTGGAGCTTTTTCAGAAACATCTTCTTCATTACGATTCGTAACCGAGCCTTTCAAATTGATTCAAATCGATTTCCCAAGACGTATAGCTTTACAAAAGTGCCTGGAACGTAGATGATTTGGGACAAGTCAGACCGGTTCTGATGGCATAACCAAATAGTAAGATATGTATGACAATGATGTGAGGAACTCGTGAAGAAGGGGAGAACAACGATTACCAGAAGGAAGCAGTACAGTAGTGTATAAGCAAGAAAAACAAAAATGATTAGGAAGAAAAAGAATTGAATGATACGAAATAATAATTTTTTCTTGTAATGCTGCATTAGACAGTAAACTATTGCTCGGAATTTTCGAATCAATCTAATTATTCGAGTATAAATTATTAAATAATTAAATGGTACAATGGTCTCCACAGATAAATATCATTAGGTCATTAATTTTATAATATTATTATATAGTATTTGAGAAAAATTCCAAGTATAAATCCTGTTCCATACCGGAAGATTCGGATAAATACCCTACCTATCTCCCCTTCCCCAACCCAGTCAGAAGAGCTGCGCACTGAGAGCGTAAGGGGTGGTCGACCTGGGAGGAAAGGATTCGATCTGTGGACTATGCCGACACCGAGCGACGCTTAATCCGATGCAAGATTAAAACTTAACGATTCTGCTATTCCAGAATACTCAAAGAGATGTCCTATTAGGTACGGTATGAGGCGATCAACCTAATAATGCGAAAAGCTTGATTGACCTGTAAGAGGACTCGATCTTGTGGGCTATCCGTGAGCCTAATGGCGGACTCATCCATTACACTAGCTTGACAGTGATATGGAACTCTCAATGTGTAGATTAAATGTGACGCTAATATTTGAGTGCATCTAAATGTATTTGCCCATTCTAATCTGAATAGACAATGAAGTGAATGTACGGCGCATCCCAGAGACGAAAACGCACGGGAGCAACGCAAATTTATTTCACTAAACTAGCGCAAATTTACGACTGCTCGAATCTTGTGTAAAATCCTGAAGAGTCCATTGAAAACTTGAAAAATCCAGAATCAAAAATTTGGGGGAAAGTGCACAAAGCCAGGTTGCGTGCGAGTTTGTCGATGTTGGTCTGCAATTTCATCGAAGAATAGCGATGCAATAAAAACCTATTGACTGAAATTCTGCAGCAAATGGAGCTATTTTCAGTAGAACGAGGTCGAGTCCTCTCCCCAAAAAACCGGAAAAGCCACTGATTGGGATATACCATCTGCCTGATTCCGCTTGAAGTTGTTGAAATGGTTCAAAGCCGTAGAAGGTTTCAACAAAGGCTCCTGATGACTGCATAGAATGTTCGGATTGGGGAATTTTGTTTGGGTGATGGGAAGCCTGACGATGACAACTAGATGGAACTGGCCTAAATTAATTACTGCGTGCATTCGGTAAAGCAAAGGGTGGAAAGCGCTGTGCTCGGCAAGCTAAACCACGATTCCAGTTTGGTCCAGGATCAAAGCCTTGCCCATGGTTTGCGAACCTTGTGAGATTTTAGCATCGTTTATTGTGGCAAATAACAGGATCTACCAAAACAACAAAGCGAACCAATCACTATTTTGATAGCTTTGAAACTTACTAAAAGGATTCTTTTGATGCTCAAGACCTTCACCGAGAGAAAGGGACATAGAGACATCAGGATGAAAACCCATTCAGTTTTCCAAGTAATCAAAACGAAGAGTGGATAGTTAGAAAAGCATGAACGGACCTGCTTTCTACACCTACCAGCACTTCTGGTTCCACTCTGACCATGAACAGGGAGTTAGTCGACGTGATGTCTACTAAGCCGAAGATCTACGACACTCTATGGGAGATTTCCCATTCTAGTAGAAGAGGCGGTGGTTACTAATCTTTCCCTCAAAAGGGCAAATGCATTAAGAGAGTAATTCGTTGGATGTGCGGACACGACTTGGTGGAACCGATGAGTCGATAAAGACAAGAAAGGCACTTGCAAGGGCGATCAGAATCTTTGGCTTTGGAGCCTTCGAATGAGCAAATCCAATGAGCACCGAGAAAAATTGAAAAGGAGATGAAGGCGCACATTCTAATTGAATTAAACTGTTGTTGAAGAGAACGAAGTAGCCCCTGGGATTCTTTCAGGGGCGTTGGTCCAGTAGAAAGCCCTTCAAAAAAGCGTTTCTACTGAATCTTCATGAAAACTATGACAGCTCAAAACCATGGGATGATGTATGGGCAGGGCTTCAGTGTCTTCCGGATGAGTGACGGCTGACCTCGGTTGACCAACCCCATTCCATCAGGAACTTCTGGCAACTTCTGGGAAAGTAAGTAGCTGCAAGAAGCGAGAAGTAGAGTGGGATGGGGCAGTAGATGGTATGGGGCAGCTATATTCCGTAGAAACAAGGGATGGTAGGCAACATAGACTTCCTGAAACCGGTTTGCAGTAATAAGGATGCATGAAAGTCAGTTTTTTATGAGCATTCGATCGATGCTCCAGTCTGGGACAGGCAAATGACTGAATACAACAGCTTGAGGTACATTGACCTCACCTGAGAACCGACGACGACGGTGACGACAGCGACCAGTGTGACTGCGAAACAAATTAAGTGCCAAACGAATGGCTTCGACCTAATTTTTCGATTTTTTTTTGAAGTTTTCGGACTAATCAATAACCCAATAAAAGCAGTAACCGACCCGAATCTAACTGTGCATAAGATCCGTCGAGATTCATGACTCATTAAGTCTGTTGAGGAGATATTCAGCTGAAGAAGGTTCGACACCTCCAAATGTCTCAAGGCTTCTAAGGTTGGAATCGCTAGAGTCGTCAACACCTTCTCTGTCGATGAATCGGTTGCGCTAACTGCCCAATAGATCCAGATGCCATAACTACAGGACGTTCCTTGAGAAACTGGAACCCATCAATCCTGGGCATATGAAAAACGGGCAGCGAATTGGCCCAGACAGGCCCCTGTTGTTAATGAATACAGTGAACAGGTAAAATATGCCTCAAAGACGATTCTGCTCTACTAGGTTCTGTACCTTGATACCCACTTGGGAACGGGATCAGATATGTGGAATATCTTTGAACTCCACTTAGGTTCATGCCTGACAAGACTGTTCCATCGCGTCCAAATTGGTGGGTTATTCTGTCAACCATCAATTTAGACGCTTCATTCTCTGTGTTGCTTAACACAACGATTTGTACCATGTATTGATGGCGCATTTGACATTCTACTTAGCAGTCAATCAGGGTAGAATGCCCATACTTTGTGAAAATCTTCCCCGATCGTCGCGCTAAAACGAAGCAGACTCAAAAATGTTCTGTAACTTTGGCCTTTGTCTCTTGATGCTTAACGCTCCTCAAATATTCTTCCATACAACTAACAGTACATGGCGCATTCCAAAGGTAGAGGTCTTGGGAAAATGCACGTAACTAGTGCGACAGCTATAGCTTTGAATGAACGGTGGTCTAGTCGAATCTATCCACCACAAGAACTTTAGAGAGCAGAGAAGGGGACAAAAATGATCAGAGTTCCAGTGAGGTGTAGAACGACTGGGTCTGCAAAATGCTTAGTCAACCTAGCTCATCCTGCTTCTCCTTCTATGAGGATTGAACTCTTACTTATTTGAGTGTAATGCTTACTTATTCACTCAGGAACTCCGCATATCCTGGCGCCCTGCTTACATTGGAACGTCACTTTAAACACCGTGACCGATAAAAATTGGAAAGAACTTCAAAGAAAACACGGAAAAAAATATAAAAAGGTTTGTTCATGAACAAACCAGGGATACAGTGTTATACAAAAGGGTCTCCACTGCCACCCAAGAAGTAGTAGTTCACAGTTAGTGGGAGAGAATGAAAGGTTAGTTCAGAAAAGAACTCGAACATGGTTTTGAAGTCCGCTCATGTGGACGGTAGTAGCGTCAGTGGATCTGGTGCTACCCTCGTCTGGCTTTTTAGATTTGTATTTTATATTAGTTCCTTTCAATATGTCTTATATAGCGTAAAAACAAACAAGTAAACAAAATCACTCAGCCATGTATTGAGGAGGTTGGTATACTCCCGTAGAAAACCGAAAGTCGAAGTTCTCCGTTAGCTGAGCGTAAGAAAAATGAGAGAAGGAAAGCATCAGAAAACTAATTTCCAAAAATGAAATAACAACTTCGATAATGTGAGGTTGCGAGAACAAAAACCTCCTTTCAGACAAAGGATGATAATTTTCTCCAAACCTGAAGAATTTTCGAGTAGGATATAATTAAAACCAGAATATTTCCAGGAAACAGTTTAAGTCTCAAAAGAACGTTTTGGAAGATGGAAAGCAAACCCACATTTAATGGACATGAGCCTAGGCAACAGTCCGATCTATTGTCGGGAAGTACGGTTATCGACGCAAGGCCTAGATGGATCGATGATGTGGATCCCGTCCAGGTTGGCCGGATAGCTCGGTCACCAAACAGGTTCACCACCCATGTCCGAGGCAACAATTGCAGTTCCACGCTTCACGATTAGGTTGAGGTAGCGGTTCAAATCGTCAGCTACCAGTAATTCGGACAGGATCACAATGAGCGCACTTTAGGTACCTCTGCTCTGGGATGCGCCATGTACTCAAATTCTATTAAAACATCAAGGAAAGACGTCTCGGACCTACCGTAACTAATAGGTTGATGCATGTTTATTACGAATTTCTTCGCGGCTTCTTTTCTCTAGATTAAATATGAATTCGGGGATTAATATAATCGTTTTACTTTCCTTAACAGAGGTATGTCTAGAAAGTCATCTTCATATATGCCACATTATGCTCGAGAAATATTGGAAGTGGCACAGCCCTAAAGTGATTTCATCGAACTTCTCGGCGATGGAACAGTCAGCCAAAGCCGAGTAAAGTATGGAATTTGCTTCTACTTCCACCCTTTTCACCAACAGAAACTCTTTATCACCTTTCACGTTGGTCATCAAGCCAATGGATGGCTTGATGACCAACGTGAAGGCGTGGATCGCTTCCAAGAATCGAAACTCCTTTGCCTGTGGAATTCGACTGCTTAGCAAATGGGAAACAATGGTTGACGTAGGTGGTGGATATGTTCCTGAGCAACTATTTGAACATGTCTTCGCTAAATACTGCTATCGTTTCCTTGAGCGAAATTTGCTGAAAAAATCCGCAAATAATTATGCATCAACCTAATATTATCCTCTTCTCCAGTAGCTGCGATTTAAAGTTTTTGTCAATCGTGAGATGCGCCATGTGTCAGATTTCCATTTACCAGTAAAGTAGTGTTTGAGTCCGATATATTCGGCCCTACGATAGCTCAAAGAATTCCACCGATGTAATGATGGGGAATCCCATTCAACTGAAGCCAGGCCAGGGCAGGATTCAATCTTGGTTTTGAACTCGCTTAGGTGAGCGATTATAGCGTTCACATGACTGCAAACATCCTCTTCAATTTCTACCGATATTGGTCAACAAAAGGATTTACTAAGGTAAAATGAAAATGACTATTTACTGCCAATGTTGATGTTGCTATTGTTGTTATTGTTTACTACTTAACATCGAGTTATCCTGAGACGTAAAGAAAACTTGGAATATATCTATCCGTCATCCCCCGCCTTACCCCTTCTGCTTATGTTGACCTTCTTCCTTCAATTCAAGCAGGAAAGATTTTCTTGGCCGTCATTTCTGGGGCAAAAACTCAATCCACATTTAGCGGATCTTATTGAGGCCCAAAAATCTCAAGTATACGAATAAATAGCGATCGGAGGTCTCACTGTCGGTACTTCCTAGAGAAAATGAAGTTAGGTGGAGAGATGAGCGGTTGAAGAGTGCCCGATCAATGACATGGACAGTTAAACTCGAGAAAAAACACAGGCGAGATGGATAAAACTGTAGACGAAAGGTCGATTGAACAGAAATAGTCCAACATCAGATTGATTGAATTATATTTATTACTTTATTATACGCATATTATGTTTTTTTATTATCTTTTACAATAAATTCCTAGAAGAATGAAGAGGCGCTCTGCATGACGCAAATGCGTTCGTATGCTCAAGAAATCCGAACAATTCCCCTAATTGAGGAAACGCCCAGAAATCATCACCTTGGGAAAGTTCGTACTCACTTTACCAACTGAGTGAGCCCAGTTTTCCTAGTTCCCAAGCACCACAACCCCAATCTCTTCTCAAATGCTACCTCCACCATCCCTGCTAAGACCCACCTCCACTTACTCTTCATGAAGTGGCGGCATCGTTCCGTCAGCGATCGGTTCGCCGTTGATGGCTCCTCGGTGAGCGCCTTCAGATGAGCTTCGACGTCTAGCCATAGTTCATCACTTAGTGCAACTACTCCAGTGCAAACGTATCGCGATTGTGCGTCATGACTGGAAAGAAACGAATTACTGTAGAGTTGAGAAACGAGTTGCTTAGAATTGAAGTGAACATAACAAATATCCTCCAATACAGATTTGCGTCAGAATCTTTGGTAAGAAATGAAAATGAGTGGATTCATTCGGATAAATAGGGAAAGGATGATCAAGCATAGCAGTTCATGAATCCACTACGATTTTATATGAGCAGTATAAAAATAAGGGAAATTTAAATGAATAGATTGCCTAAATATCAAAAATTCCCACAACTTATCGGCAAGGGATTTGAACAACTACATCGACTTCTTTCGATGGACACCGTCTCAGTATTCCATGAGCGAATACCCGTAATATATCGCCTATTCCACTCCCCTTCTTCCCCCCTCTACCCCCTTGCCTCGACAAAAGCTATCAGCTATGAATTATACCCTCGTTGTCAAGCTACATATTCGAATGAAAGCGACGTGCCGCCGTCGGAGACCTCGCTTGGGTATATAAGTCCGAGCAAAGGAGGACCGCTTACCAAGTTGGTAGCCTAAAAACAAAAAGTGGGAAATTTTGATATTCAAGTTTCTCCTCATAAAAGACTACTTTTAAAAATAGTCAATAATTAAATACCTGATATCTTATATAAACAAACAAATAACAAACAAGTAAATAGCAAATAAATAACTATACAGATAAGGAAAGCTCATAGAATCTAGCTCAAAATAGAGCAAAGATACCGGTAGAATCAATCTGCAGGGCTTTTTGTGGTATTGAAATTTAGAACTTCAGTAAAATCGAAAAAAATGATCGAATGGTTTAAAAAAATTGGAAAAAAAAGTAAAAAATGATGTGCAACCGAAACCGAAATCAAAAGCGAAGTTCGGATTTCAAGGGACTACTAGTGAAATCGTTACCTCCACTACATTTGAAACAATTCAATATAGAAACTCAGGGTCTCGAAAGTCATGCTCAAAGTCAGGACAATCATACAGGTGAGTTAATCAGCGCAGCCGCAGCTGACATGGGAAACTCGCATGGGATCAAGAAGTCAAAGTCAAGTTCAAGGATCGCAAGTTGGAAGGGAGGAAGACCACTAAGCTGTGCGTGGTCGTGCTCTCGGTGTTCAAACATATTGTGAGGTGTGTAAGCCTATGTTGATCAGAATAAACACGCTGAGAACCGCTCTGTTATCGTGAAGTGGGCAGACCACTTGGTGATCTCTGAGCCATGGACGTCGAAGGCCAAGATGGGCTTATCTTTAACTATTTATTTATTTTATTTACTCATCTATTGTCACAGTGGTTGAAGAGGCAAGTGTAAGTGTTCGCTAGTATTCATTACTATACACTTACTTGTCACCGGATTGCTCAGCTGACGCCGGACTTTCCTACTTCTCTTGTTGGAACTGGACCAACGCCTACACCCTTTTCGAATTCGGAGGCTCTGGTCCACGGTCCAGGAGAACAGTAGTAACAGGCAAATACACGCAAGCCCCCCGAAACACTTCTTGGGGGCCCCGAGTGGAGTGTGCTCAAGACTTGTCTGCATTAGTAACTGGGTTCATTCCCCAATTATTCCAACTTGATTTCATATTTTCTATTCAATTTGCTTATTACATGCACGTTCAGCTCTCTCCCTCCCTCCGAATCCTCCTCTCTTCTCCCCCCGGGTGCAGTCCAGCCAGTCACCTCCCACCACTTACCATCAGTGTTCCCATCCTACCGTCTGTACCTAAAAAATTTACCTGGGTATCTAAATTTGAAAAGGGTGCAAGCGAAGGGTTAATCACAGCACGTAAAGGAAGTGAGCCCTACGTCGACTGGGCGATCTGACTGGTTAACAATAAAGAAGGATAAAGTCACGGCACAAAAGATGGGAGCAAAGGAGAACAAAGGGAAGGTGGAGAAATTTGTGAGGAAAGCTCCCTAAAGAAATCATTTGTCGGCTTTTCCACTCATCCAATTAAATGCCTTTGTACTTCTATATGCAGACTGTGATTACCTTGAGAATAATTAGTAATTAGTCGATTCCGATTAACAGCACAAACCAGACATAAACCAGCATTTGCCATTACTGGGAGCCAGAAATTTGTCCATTCATGAACCCTGCCTCTCGAAAGATTTTAAAAGACAATGAGATAGCTCCATAAGAAATTGCATAGCCCAGAAATCGAAGACTTTTTCGGTTTTCAGGCGTGCTCACTTCACAAATTAGAGATGACTCAAGCAAATCTAGCTTCTCCACGATTCGGACAAAATTCGTATGCATCTCTGAAAGGAATGCTTATTGATAGCACTTCACCTTTCATCTCTCTATAAACAGAATAAGAACCGTAATAACCGGAAGGGACAGCGAACGTGGGATCATCGTCCGTGTAATCGGCTTATTCGCTTGTCTGGGAGGCTTAATAATCGCTTCTTAAGTAGCCTTAAAGCGTGTCAGGGCCTAGGTATGAGGTTCCCAGTGTTCGAAAAGTTGAGTCTCCACTTGATGTGAAAAGTCAAGCCTCGACAGACATGAGTAATGTAAAAACATAGAAATGAAGTTGTAGGAGAACCGGTAGGACAAGAGGAGAAAGTTACCAGGTCAATTGCAATCTTCATGAGCAACAACTATATAGATCGGGTAGAACCGGTTCTGCTGTTGCTAAGATTGGTAGGCATATAAGTCGGTCATAAGATGGTTACCATGAAAAAGGGTATTGTACTTTGTATGGTTACCGACATTTATTTCTATACACTTTATTCACGCAATACCAATTATGCCTACAAATTTTTCAAGCTCCAAAAGGAGGTGACAGCAGAAGTATAGCTAAAAAATCAGAGACCCTTTCGAAGCTGATTTTGAGCTTCGAACAAATCTTTCTCATCTCTCGGGCCTATAAGAAAGTAGAAAGCTATTAGGAAAGCGCGTAATGAATGTCGATACAAAAATATCAGACTTATCATACAAAATTAAAAATAATATAAAAGAAAAATAGAAAAAGGTAAAAGAACGAAATGAGTATTAGTAAATTGTGATAATACTGGTGTTTATTTTAAGATAGCAGAAAGTAAACTATGATAAATGACAAGAATATTGGTAAGTATAAACAAAAAAAAACCTAAACTGTTTCTTATTATTTCTGTTTGTAAAAAAAGTTTCTTATCGGGTATGAGAATTGATTTTACTTTTCTTCCAATGACCGCTTTATTCCAGCTTGAAAGCAATATTTTCGTGAATTGACTCCTTTATTAATTTTAAAGTTTCCTTATTTTTGAAGTGTTATTTCTTGATTTAAGGAAGTTCCAAGTAAAGTTGTAGGAACTCGAGGATCAAGCTGCTAGTCATAATTAAAAAGTTTGCATGCATTAGAATAACAAGTTAAGAAAATACGTTACAGCCAAACAGGTTTCCCATCGTTTCCTAGGAGACTATGGGGAAGGCGGCTGAATGCATCTGAAATTAGCCATCAAACATGACGCTTAAGGCTGATTGGAATCGTTCCAATTGAGGGCTGGGAGCTCGTTCCGAGATTAAATCTACTTCTGATGTTTGGACTCTCAATTGATAGCTAGATCGATTGCATTTGGATAAAGCCGACTCCTTTGATCCCGATTAATTCATATCGATTAATTCTGACGGTAGAAAATTTTTGAAGGCTTAAAATGGGCTAAACAGTAGCGCTCATGCTTCTCCGTCCGAAAAAGAAGCAGAGTGTTGGAGAAGCAGAGCAGAACTCTCATTTTGCGTCTCTAACATCTCTGTTTGACTTCTTTTGGACCGCTTTCGGCTCGATTTGAACCACTACGATTCCTCCACCGCTCAGCAGTCACGAAGAATCAATCACCTAACTGAGCGTGTTTAACCGTAGCGCATCTTTTTAAAAAACAAATTCTTATTTTAATTATGGCTTCATGGGCGGTCCCTTAGTCGTGGGCGTGGTTTCTCACGCCTCCACTTGCTCTAATATGCTATAATATAATCGCGTAATGGCAACTTCATATTTTTTTCTACACAAATTGAGATTATTGAGATGGAGAAATAAATTACTTTCGGCTTAGCCTAGTCGCTTGACTCCATCAGATTTTCCAGGAAATTTTGTCAGTTTCAGTATTTTAGCAGACTCACCTTAGATATTCGGCTGGATCTAGTTCAAACACTGGATTGCTGTATGAAAGTGGTCCACCAAACCCATCAGGCAGTGAATTACTGAAGTTGCTGACTGGTGACGTGGATGACGTTGGTGAATTAGAAGCTGAGGAAACTCCTGACGAGGACCGTTCGCTAGTTGTCGACAACGACGCCGATTCGTGAGGCGAAAATTTAGCAGCCTGTCAAGAAAAATCATTCAAATGGGGGTCGCACACCACTGAGAGAGGTAAATCTGGACGAAGTTCGTTAACCGGAGTGATTTCGCTGACGAGTCATCGGATTTTCTAAGAAACCGCATATAAACCCTTTTCACTTCTACAGAGGGCTCCTCTAGACTCGCAAAAAATTTTCTTCACTATGTTTACGAAGATAGCGCTACTGTCTGAACATATTAAAGCTTACTCCCTGAATAAAGTCAGCAACTACGCGGAGAACTGAAAAAAGTTGGAGTCTTTCAAAATGTTGAAGAAGGAATTTAACCTCCTTCCTAAAATTTAACTTAGTGAGGTATCTCTTCTTCTAATGGTCCTTTTTGACTAGTTTTCCCGAAAGAAAGCTCGTCCTCGTCAATGAATGATTACAGTTCGTATTTACCCATCTCAATAGGAATTACATTGTTATCGGAAATGAGCCGTGAAGTGCAGTTCCAAGAAGCATTCATTCAGAAGAAGGAAATGGATGAATAGCCAAAATATCAGATTCAAAGTACAACCTGACCAAAATACACAATTCCAAGTAATCTAACCTTTTCGAAAGCTTCAGCAATACTGTCCAGTTTTATGACACCGGTAGCCATTGCACATTTTCTTTGTAGGACAAATTCCTTTCCAATTCGTATCTGATCGACGGTTTCCGGCTGAAACGACTTAAATGAATCTGAAGCCGAGCATTGAAACAAAGCGAATGGCCAATTCGAAGAGCACCAGGTAAAATCCACACGACGAGTTCCATTAGAAAGTATAAACCCACAGAATAACGACAAGTTGAAATAGAAAAAAATGTGGAAAATTGTTTTTGGAGATGGCGTGTGGCCTAGTGGACTGTAGAAGGGCTGACAGAGGGGTCGTGGATCGATGACAGCGATAGATCACTTTCACGACGCCTTAATAATAACCCAAAAATGAAGGAATGAAGAAATAAAAAAGTTTTTTTCCCTGAAAAAAAGGAGTAACCGCTCAGTTGGATACGAATTCGTCGGAGAACAAAAAAATCGCCGATTGCTTATAACCCCAGTCCTGTGAAAAAACGTGACAAATAGAGGACTTTCCGTTGATTGAATTGAAAATCAAAACAAAACGGCCTGCTGTTCAATGTTATTTATGACAAAAACCCATCCTACAATGAAAACAATCAGTTGTTTTGTTACCCAAGGTCTATTCCTCTAGTACATGGTTTGTACTTATACTACATGCACTGCAATGATAATCATGAATAACTGGTGATAACTTGATAACTTCTTCGGAACCCCTCTAAAAACAGCAGAAGGATAAAAGGGTTTCCGATCGTCAATCAATCCCGTTCGAAGTATACGAACTGCATTCGACTTCTACTCGGAATCGTAGTGGCGTTTTGGATGCGTATGTGACCTATACAATGAGTTGCGGTGGCCAGCTGATGTACATATAAGTGTTTTTATCCTCCCAGACGAGTCTCGTACCAATTAACCGACCCCGAAGGGATGGAGGCCTGGTTGGTCTCAGGGAATATCGACCCGGAATTCGAACCCGTGACTGACCGTGTGAGATAGTAGGCCACTTGTCACTAGGCCACCTCCAAAATAGGCGACTTATGAAAAATTGTGGTGAGCATATCGTAACGATCGATGTACAATAACCAGTCCAACCCCTGATTTTGCACGAAATTTTCCAACACGGAAACTTAAAGGAAGTAGCGAACGATGATGACGTTATCAATTACTGCGAATATAAAAAAAAGTGACAGCATGACAGGAGCAATCGAAAACTTGTGTAATGTCTTTGGGTATAGCACAATGAACGTACAATTATAGGAAGAATTCGTTTCAAAATTATCGAAAATGTAGAGTCATGGTATGGCACTGCTGCCATAGAGAAGTTGCTACAGTTGAGTTGAGCGTTATCGTAGGTATTCCAGCATCAGTATCGTGACTACTCCTTGCAAACTTTCGAAGGGATATGGATTCGAGATCTTGTGAACTACGGAGGTCTGTAGCAGGTACGAACTCCTCGTGTAAATTTTCACAATGTCGAGAGATTGCCGGATACAAGGTGTTATACGACCACATCCGATATCAGCTGCATAGTGGGAAGATACACTTTATGACTTGGTCAAGACAAGCTCCTCTTACAACTTTCCTGTCTGATCAAAAATTCCTTTCACAATTTTTAGGATTTGCTAAGGGTCAAAGAAATGAACGCACTGGTTGAAAGTTTGAAATAGCAGAGGAACGGCGTAATGAACATCAAACTCAAACAACTCAAATAATCTCAAACTTCTCTTAGGTTATAAATTCAGCATAACACTTTCCGATGGTGATACCTTTTCATTGTTAGTATGTGAAGCGGTTCACAGAAGTTTGTTCAAAGAATATTCTGGTTTATGCCTACGTCAACTCGTCTACAAACTGCCATACGCTCTACAACCCTCACAACAGACAGCTGTTATGACGAAGAACAAAGTTGAGAATGGGCAGAGAAGCTGAGCGTCAGAAAATTCTGATATACAGCCAGTGGCGAAGGGTTGTCATGCAGAAATACACTGAGCATCTACGACCGCAGGCACTGCCGTAAAAAGGCAATGTTAAGCAGCGAGACCAATACGCAAGAACGCTGGATACTTGTGTTGCGCCATGAACATGACCAACATGTAGAACATAGTGCATCGTAGGCTGCCGTGGAAGGCAACGCACCAATATTTAAGAATTTCGCTCAAAAGCAATAGAGATTGTGAGATTTTTTACTTACGATCAAGGTTCTAGTACGGGTTTGCACTTATAGAACTGCAAATAAATGATGAATGAATGAACGAATAAACGAATGAATAGATGAAGAAGAAGGCCGCTCTAACGATTTCGAAAAAAAAGCAAGCAGATTTTTTTCGTCGCGACCGAACAGGGGGTTAATGCGGATTATCAAAGTAGGTCCTGAAATAAACAACAGGAATGAGTCCCCACCCATAACTGACAGCCTTCTGCGTTCACAAACTCTGTAGCTTGAATGAATTTATCTTTCTTAAGATCACAATCATGGAAACAAAGGAAAAGCCTTCTTGCTATTGAATAAAAGCGGCTGCTGAACGTCTTTGTATGAAAGCGACTCTTTTCAGCATCTACGGCGGAACCCCCTTATGGCGGAACCTTCTTGAAAACGACTGCATGACAAGGCTTCATAACAAAACGAACACCTGAGCTGCCCATCTCTGGCCGTATGGCCTGACACGTACCAATATTGGGGTGACTGGAATCACAAAGAAAAAGCCGATCCCTTAAAAAAGACGGATTCAGTCGAAGGCGATGGCCGGTCCGACCACGCCCTCTTATTAGATTGACCTCAATTACGATGACATCGAAATGAAAACAAGATGAATGAGATCGAAATGGGATGCTGTCGCTCCTCCTCCATTTCAGATAGAATCCTTCCAGTTCAATGACGATGACAGACGAAATCCGTTTTACACATTGAAGTCGAACGGCATGTCGGCCGCCTATAGAACGACCTGTATTTGTGTACAGGGCGGATTTACAGATTCACCAATCGCCAAGGTAAAGTTACTAATCCCTGAATCAATATTGTTCAAGTTACAGAGTAGGATACGACGATTACAATGGGGATTTAATCCCAAATAGAAAAACATCATCGGAACGAATCAGTACGGTAAGAGCAAAACAGATTACGTGGAGCAGAATAGGGTAAGCCATCCCTATCGTAAACAGTCCGTTCCAATTCCATTTGCTAGCTATCTGGAATCGTTTAGGCTTCTCAGATTGGCTACCTCGTGTTTGGTTAAGCGCAACACAATGAAATTTGAGTAACCGTAAACAGCAACTTAAAGATAACCTTGTAATCCAGTGGTAACCATAATTCAGTAAGAGAAACTGCACTATTGTATGGTAAACGAGGTCGGGCTCCTACAACCACTGTAGAGGTCCCTTTTCACTGATAGCTACTAGAACACTCTTTGATGCGAAGGAATGGCAATGCGGTAATAGTCAAGGGCAGCATCATGCAGTGGGAGTGCGCCATGCATACGACAATCCCAGAGAACTGAAAACGAGTTGGAGTGGATTCATCACTTCTGCTGAATGAAATGGACTCATCTACTGTGCTGTTCATAAGTAAGCTTCCGTCGTTTGATAGTTAAGTAAGATGAAAGGTTGGTGTTGTTGTTGACTTCATATTTACAGCTATGGCCTTGTACAGCAATAGCTTCTGTCAATGCGGTTCAGGTAAAAAAATTTGGCTTCGCCAGGACGACCACCTCAGTTGTGTGACCCGGAACAACTCCTAGACACCAACCCATCTCCCCAAGGATTTGTAAATTGTAGAATCAATGATAGTGCAAGCATTGGGACACAAAACCTCTGGAATTCAGTTTCAGCAAATTCATCCGGCTGTTTTGCCATAATACCCGCTCTACCACACCTTCCTGCATTCTCTTGTAAATATCGACCCCTCATCGGATCATTCAACAATGACTCATCCCATTCTTAGTGCAGCCACCCCAATATTGTTGAATCATACAGGAAAAGGCTAATTGAACAGCTGAAAAACTATCACCTGCTGAGAATAAGAGACCATACTCAACTTAAAAACTTACCCAAAGAAGAATTCTACTAGTAGTGAAAAATAAGCGGTGGCTCCAGAAATATTCTTTAAAATGCTCTGATTGCAATAGAAAAACGTGAACTGAGAAAAAGCTATGTTAGCATCTAAGAAGAAAGTTGAAAAAGAACTAAAATAGCCGAAAATATGAATAGAATCAAAGCAAAGAACCCGTTCGAGGCTGAAACCGAGCAAGAAATGAAATGACATTGTTAGAGACGTTTTCTGTTCTCGTTACCCAGGAGATCGGTGTTTTTTTTAGTGTTCCGAGGAAAGCGAAAGGGCCAATCGTTGGTCGTTTCCATCGGAGAGGTGCGGCTCGTGCTGGATGTTAAACTGACCGCTCCTTTTACGATTTGGGCAAACAGGCGATGTGCGAAATGTGAGAGAAAGACTTCTGTCACAGAACGGAGAAATGCTCGGTTGATCTTGTCCCGAAACTGATTAATGGCTCCTCAAGTGGGGAGACTTCGAGAAATGGATGGTCTCGAATATTCGCAGAGACACTTTTACTTTCACTGAGATCTGTTCGTATATTTATTATTTTTATTTATTTATTTACTTATTTTTTTATATTTTCCACCATCTATATAAATAAACATGGACGGACACTTTTGATTATTTGAATACTCAAAAAATATCCTTAATTTCCAATATGAGAAAATTCCAAATAAATATCATCATGAATATAAAGCTCGGAGCCTAGAAGTATAAGCCCATGTACATAACTACAAGTTGAAAAATTTTTTTTGAATAAGACATAAGAGGTGTCGTAATGGCAATTGTCCACTCTCATATAAGCAAGGTCCGAAGATCGAATCCTGGCCCGATACTCGACCAGGACAAACATGTTTTCACCCCTATGGGGTCAATTATTTGGTACCAGGCTCGTCCGGGAGGACAAAAGCACTGACTTGTACATCGGATGGCCAGCAAACCATTGTATAGCCACTGTCGGCTTCAAATCGCCATCATTATTCTGAGTGAAAGCCGGAAGCGGATGTTAGAATTTTTTGAAAAATTATTTTTGCTAATTAATTCCAAAATATAAATATGA